TTCAAGGTATTGGTGTGAAGAGTGAAGGGGGAAGGAGCTAAAGGATGATTCAAAACAGTCCCAGCTGGCGTATGTGTAGTAGAGAGAGGAATATGAACCTAGGAAGAACTCAAGAAAAGCTATTTCTTAGTTATGGATAAAAAATGGGGTAGGGGAGCCCAGCCAACATGGCTCAGTGGTTGAGCATCCACCTATGAACATGGCAGTCATGGTTAGATTCCAGTCAGGGCATGTGCCTGGGTTGCGGGCTTGACCCTCATTGTGGGGAATGCAGGAAGCAACCAATCAATGATTCTCTCTCATAATTGATGTTTCTATCTCTCTCTCCCTCACCTTTCTTTTCTGAAATCTACATATCTATATCTATATCTATATCTATATCTATATCTATATCTATATCTATATCTATATCTATATCTATATCTATATCTATATCTATATCTATATCTATATCTATATCTATATCTATATCTATATCTATATCTATATCTATATCTATATCTATATCTATATCTATATCTATATCTATATCTATATCTATATCTATATCTATATCTATATCTATATCTATATCTATATCTATATCTATATCTATATCTATATCTATATCTATATCTATATCTATATCTATATCTATATCTATATCTATATCTATATCTATATCTATATCTATATCTATATCTATATCTATATCTATATCTATATCTATATCTATATCTATATCTATATCTATATCTATATCTATATCTATATCTATATCTATATCTATATCTATATCTATATCTATATCTATATCTATATCTATATCTATATCTATATCTATATCTATATCTATATCTATATCTATATCTATATCTATATCTATATCTATATCTATATCTATATCTATATGAGTGGCGGAGTGATGGAGTGATGGTTAATTTGCGTGTTTCTCTTTTATTAGTGTAGATATCTATATCTATATCTATCTATATCTATAGCTATATCTATATTTTAAGTGGGGCGGGGGACCTGAAGACATATCTTTAAATGAAGGTAGTTCACTGGTGAGGAGGGCACTTTTGCCTAAGAAACTTGAGTCCCAAGAATCATGGTACTACGTTTGGATTTAAGTAAAAATATGTACAGTATTGAGACTACATCTAGAAATGGCCCTGCACTGTAACAGGCGTGCAGGATGTCTGGATCCCCTGTGAGTGCTGGACAGTAGCAAGAAGGAGGAAAAGGGAGGGGAAGGGTGGACTGGTATGGGTTTGCTATCCTTAAGTAAGAAAATCGACAACCATTAGGAGAGAGTCTGGCAGGGCCTGGGCAGATTCCTTACAGGTTGTGGTCTGGCCTTATTGGGCCCCATGGCAGGTTAGGGGCATCTATGAAAAGTTGTGGGATCTCTGAGGAGGACAATCCTTGGGTTTCTATAATTGTCCTGAGTATTAGGAGGTAGAAATGAGATCCAGATGCTTCATGTGTGGAGGGAGAGGGGGTCATGTTCCCAGATGGGCAAGGCTGAGAAGGTGCTCTGGCTAGTGTGTCCAAGGAGCTCCCTTGTCTTGGGAGGGATCCTACCTCACTCCTGGGCCCAGCACAGCCCCACCTCAGTGATCTCCCGACACCAGGCTTGCAGCTCAGGGTCACCTCTCATGATGTCATCCCCATGGTAGAAGAGGTGGACAATCCCTTCCACGTACCTGCCCAGAGGAGAAGGGAGCCAAGCTCCTTGAGAGTAGAAGGCTCTAGCCCAGGGGTGGGCAAACTTTTTGACTCAAGGGCCACAATGGGTTCTTAAACTGGACCGGAGGGCCGGAACAAAAGCATGGATGGAGTGTTTGTGTGAACTAATATAAATTCAAAGTAAACATCATTACATAAAAGGGTATGGTCTTTTTTTTTTTTTTAGTTTTATTCATTTCAAACGGGCCAGATCCAGCCTGCGGGCCGTAGTTTGCCCACGGCTGCTCTAGCCTCTGACCTCTACTTCTTTTCTGTGGCATTTAGGCAGCTGACTCTCATTGTACGTGGGGAGAGATCTTACAACACTTGCCTTTTGGCCATCCCCTAAATCTTTCTAAAAACTAGTTTAGAAAGAAAAAAAGCATGGATCATTAGTTTAAGAATTCCATACACATAGCTTACAGTCTCATTGAATTAAAGACATGAAATATGTATAGGTTTTACATGTCAAGTGTACCTCAAATGTGGTTTTCAAAAAACAGAACATCTCATATAAAATAGATACATGCATTAGTTGAAATCTCATTTCTGGAAGTCTATACTTTAAATATAAGGGTGCATAAGTGTGTACATACCAAGGTGTTCATTAAATACTCATCATAGTAAATACTGAATATGGGACCATATCACAGTGTAATCATTTAAAAATACATATATATGTATATTGATTTCAAAGAGGAAGGGAGAGAAAGAGATAGAAACATCAATAATGAGAGAGAATCATTGTTTGGCTGCCTCCTGCATGCCCCACAATGGGGATCGAGCCTGCAACCTGGGCATGTGCCCTGATTTGGAATCAAACCGTGACCTCCTTGTTTGTAGGTCAATGCTCAACCACTGACCCACACTGGCTGGGCTCATGGTATAATCTTAAAGGTAGCAAAGACAGCAGATAGCTCTCCATCTATTGATCTGAAGATATTATCATCATCTATTGTTTGTGATGAGGGAAATTTTATATATATATACTAGAGGCCTGGTGCAGGAAATTCATGCACTGGGGAGTGGAGCAGTCCCTCAGTCTGGACTGCACCCTCTTGCAGTCCAGGAGCCCTGAGATCGCTTGCCCTGTAGAGGGAGGCCCCACCCACCTTATCACAGCACCAACGGTCGGTGTTCTGGGTCTCCCCTCTGTGGGGCGATCATGGGGCAATGGCAGGGCCCCCAACCAATCGCATCACAGTCACCTTGGCTGGCCTGGTGCCAGTTGTGTCATAGCATGGTCGTCCGGATGGTTGTTCTGCTGTTTGGTCTTTCGGTCGATTTGCATATTACTCTTTTATTATTATAGAAAATTGAATTAAAATACAAAGATAAAAAAATTGTGGAGCGTTCTTGGCATTGGGAATATTTAAGTAACATATTTTTTACCAAACATGGAATACTAAATGGTTTTGGATACCAAATCCAGGAAAAATATGGGCGTCAGGAAAAGCCTAGGGAAAGTAGACTGTGAGTAGGTTGTGAAGGTGCGTGGTCCTGCTAATTGTACTGGAGAAAGAAATAATACACAAAACATCACTTTGCTTCCCTCCTGCAAACGAAGGAAACGGATGATAGGCCCTTTGAATAAGGTAGGGGACACGACTTTAAAAATATGAGGAAGTCATTCACTCCAAAGAAAAAGCTTGTATACTTCACTGGTAAGAGACAGATTTGTAATAATCATTCAGGGAAATGCATGTTTGAAGAACATAGTTCTGTTCTGAGCTTGTACCCAGTCTAGTGAAGACAGTGATCAAAGCATGATTGAGAGGGGCCATTTTGCCATTTTGAACCCAAGACCCTGGAACTAGACAAAGAAACGGTTAGCATAATTTTGTGGTACTTTTCCATTTATTTTGTGCATATTGTTCTGAAAAGGGAAATGAGAGAAAACATAGAACCTGGATCACAGGTAGTGACTGCAGTGTACTAAAGGGACTGGGAAAATGGCCTTGAGACATGAATTTCATGTCTCTCTTGTTTGAGACTATTTGGGGAAGGAAACCAAAAGATTTTAGTCTGCTCTAGGAGCACCTTTCGTATTCCAGGACTTTTGGGGGTAGGTGTGTGAATAGCGGTGGAGGGAAAGTTGGGAAAGAACAGAATCAGGAATTTTTAAGTTGCCCACCAAGCATGAAGTCTAGCTCCTGGGAAAGGAGAATTAGTTGAGGTAGTTCATTTCTCCAAGAAATCCCCCCACCCACCCCTGAGAGCATTCTCTGGATGTTTGCAAGTAGAGTCAGTGCTTCAGGCCAGATCAGGCAGCCTTGTCCAGGTACTGTCCCTGAGGGCCACATTCAGCCTGCAGCCTGTGCACGTCTCTAGCAAAGCACAGGGGTGTTAGTTTTGTTTTGTTTTTGTATTTTTAAATGTTGTAAAACAAAAGAAGAATATTTTGTGACACGTGAAGTTCACATTTCACTGAGCATGAATAAAGTTTTATTGGAACACATTCACACTCATTCATTTTCATATTGTCCCATTTGCTACACTGGGAGTTGAGTAGTGACAGAGTCTGTGTGGCCTACAAACCATACAATTTTTATTTGGCTTTTTACAGAAAAGGTTTGCTGCCTCCCTCCTAGCACCCCACTCTCCCCACCACCACCACCCTGCCTGGGCCAGTGGGATACTGATGTAGAGAATTTATTTTGGAGAGCTGAAGTTTTCCAGGTGGGGGCACCATAGAGCTCAGATAGTGATACTGTTCTCTATGTTGCTGGGCTTTAAGTATTCGTAGGCAAGGTCAAGTTGCTCATTCCGGGCTGTCATTTCCCTCTCCCAGTTTTCCAGATCTGTATGGAATTGGTTTAGTACAGCTTTGGTCTTGGATCCCGAGAAATACTGTTCTTTGTGATGCCCCAGAGGAACCTAAGAACGAACAAAGGATCAGTCAGTTTCTAGTTTGAAGGCAGAAGCACCTAGAGCATTTTGAAAAACCCTAACTTAACTCTGATGCCGTGTCACATATAGAAATTTTTTGATATTTGCAACCATAGTAAAACAAAGACTTATATTTTTGATATTTATTTTATATATTTAAATGCCATTTAACAAAGAAAAATCAACCAAAAAAATGAGTTCACGTGTCACCTCTGACACGCGTGTCATAGGTTCACCATCACTGACGCGTGTCAGAGGTGACACGCGAACTCATTTTTTTTGGTTGATTTTTCTTTGTTAAATGGCATTTAAATATATAAAATAAATATCAAAAATATAAGTCTTTGTTTTACTATGGTTGCAAATATCAAAAAATTTCTATATGTGACACGGCACCAGAGTTAAGTTAGGGTTTTTCAAAATGCTGACACGCCGAGCTCAAAAGGTTCGCCATCACTGCTCTAGGGCATCTTGAGGTCCTGACACTTGCTTTCAGGGACCTGGGCTTTTATCTGTCCATACCTGGCCCTGGTTGATGGCCGCATGCTGGGCACTGCACGTGAACACACACATGGTAAGGAAATGGCAGAGCTGATTCAGAGACTGGAAGGAGACAGGGAAACCTGGGGAGGAAAGGAACAGGATCTAGAGGCTACAGCACGAGAGGAGAGAAATAAAGGTGGATGTCTGTGTTTCAGAATTGATGGGTGTTGGTTCATTTATTCAAAATATATTTGCATCAGACATGATTTTCAGTTCAGGCTCAAGCAATCTAATTTGGATACCTTCTTAGGCCAATTAACTTCTCTGACCTCAATTTCTTCACCTGTAAAGCGTAGATGATACTTACCTTATAAGTGAGATAATGTATAAAAAATTGATACACGTGCTTAGTAAATAATAATATTGTCATTATGGAAGGGTTGGAGGCGGAAAAGATTGACTAATCAAATATCTTCTGCCTTAAAAAATGGTTAAGAATTTAGGGTTGCTTCTCCCTATTCCCAGACAGGGAATTAGAAGTTCCTGAATTATAAGGTGAGGAATAGGAGAAGTCATGGATTCCTAGTGTCACAGCCAAGAGAGGCTTTCTACAAAGCTTATCCCAGGCTGCCCAATCACCCTATCAGTTAAGTGGAACAAGTATAATCACTCTCCTTTTATAGATAAGACAGACACAGTTGGGAAAAGGCAGAGGCTGACCTTGAACTTGGGATCCTGACTGCTAATTTCTGACAGTTTTAATCTTAACACATTTCCTCTTTAAGTCTGTTGGGAAAATTAGGGAAAAGTCATCTATGAGAACAGAGAGAGAGAGAATGAGAGGCCGTTAGTTGGAGGTTAAAGTTAATATGTGAAAGTTGTATTTTCGAAATGCAGTTGATAATAGTTGGGGAAAAGATGGCCAGGCAGAGGAAGTAGAGACTTGGGGGCATGTGGAGCCTAAGGGAAGGTACTGAGATGTCCTAGAGAGTTTGGTCCTGGGAGGGTGGGGATGGTGCTGCCTCAGATTCTGCAGGGAGAGGCCCCTCCAGAGCATAGGTGTTGGCTTATTGCTCACTGCATCTCCCGGGTCTGACCACAATGGCTCCCCAGTAAATGTCTGTAGGTGTCCTACAGAGGTAGAGATGTTGGGGTGAAGTGTGAGGAGCAGGGACTGAAGGACGATTTGAAGCAGTCCAGGTTGGTCCACGTGTGCTAGAGAGACGAGGATGAACCTAGGAGAGCTCAAGAAAAGCAGTTTCTTCCCCAGCAGTTAAATGTGATTCGGGTATGCTAAAGCTAATGACTAGATCTTAAGCCAGTGACTAGATCCCAGCAGGGGTCGGGGGAGGACAGATTGGCAAAGGAATGTGAGCTCTAAGGGACAGGGAACTGAGTTTAGATTTGAGCCAAAGCATGTACAGTACTGAACTTGCACCTAGAATGACCGTGCACTGTGGTAAAGTGTGCAGTATGCCTGGACCCTCTGTGTGTGCTGGACAGTAGCAGACAGGATAAGAAAGGAAAACCAGAGTGGGTCATTGTGGGATTTGGTGGGAAAATCTTCCCATTCATATCCTCAGGCAGGAAAATAGACACCATGGGAGAGATGCCTCTAGTAGGGCCTGGGCAGATCCCCCACCCACTGGCTGTGGTTCTGGACCCACTGAGCCCCATGCTGTGGCAGTTTGGAGGCATCTGTGACTAGGCAGCGGAAAGGGACATAAAAGTTGAAGTTCAGGGTCTTTGAGGGGAATAACCCTTGGGTTTCTAGGATGGTCCTAACACTTAGAAGGTAGGAATGGGATCCAGATGCTTCATGTGTGGAGGGAGAGAGGGTAATGAGGGGTTGGGATCATGTCCCCAGAAGGCAAGGCTGACAAGGGGCTCTGGGCAGAGTGTCTGAGGAGTTTCCTTCTCTGGGGAGGGATCTCACCTCGATCCTGGGCCTGGCACAGCCCCCCCTCAGTGATCTCCCGACACCAGGCCTGCAGCTCAGGGTCCCCTCTCACGACGTCATCCCCGTGGTAGAAGAGGTGGATGATCCCTTCCACATACCTGCCCAGAGGAGAAGGGAGCTGAGCTCCTTGAGCGTACAAGGCTGTAGCCTCTGACCTCTACTCCTTTTCTGTGGCCTCTGTCCAACACACTCTTACTGTGTCTGAGTGTAGATCCTTTAAGACTTGTCTTTTGGTACATTCCCCAGCTCTTTCTACACATTAGTGTAGAAAAGAATGAAAATGTGGGTCATTACTTCTAGAAATTCTCTATATATGGTGTAGTCATTCTTCCTGACAACAACCCTGGTGTGTTCAGATCCCTCCCGCCATCCACAGCTATCCCAGCCGAGGCTGTCTACCCCCATCCTGGTCTCTTTCTTATCAGACCTTACCCACTGTCTCCTCATTCTTCCTCTTCTCTTTCAGGACTGAGTCCTCTGCTCCTCATGTCTGAACCTTCTTTTGACATGTTCCTTTTGCCCCATGCTGACCTCAGGCCAAAGCCCCATTCTCATTGTCCCCAGTGGCCCTTCCTTTCTCAGCTCCCACTCTCACCCACCGGGCAATGATCTCCCAGAGCCGTAAAGCATCATGGGCATAGAGGGCACTTGGGATGCCCATCAGGCCTCGGTCAGCCAGATCGTCAGGAGGACAGAGGGAGCGGTAGGTCAGCTGAGCCAAGGCCCGACGCATCAACTGCACATGGCCGCCTCCGCCGATGCTCATACCCTGGGACAAAGAGATGAGAGGCCTTGAGGAAGAAGACAGGGCATAGTATACAAGAGGTTCAGATGTGGGGTTCTCACATTTAATGGCATTGGTATAAAGGGACAAGGCTCCTGGATTTAAGGGTCAGGACATTTACACAGGTTGGTCTGGGATTTTTAATACATTTTTTAAAATTGATTTTAAAGAGTGAGAAAGGGAGAGGGAGAGAGATACATCTATCAGCTGCCTCCTGCACATGCCCTACTGTTGATTGAGCCTACAACCCGGGCATGTGCCCTGACCAGCAATCAAATAGTCACCTCCTGGTCCATGGGATAATGCTCAACCAAGTGAGCCACACCAGCCAGGTCAGTCTGGGATCTTAAAAGTGACAGGAGGTCATGCAGAGTTGGATGATTAGGTAGCCCCACATTCTATTACCCTCTTACCTTATCAAATACACCTTCATCTGAGATGAGTTGGCCCCGTCCCCGTGTGTTGATCTCTATGGTGTAGCGGGTGTGTGGGATCAGGAGCTGGATGGAGAAGGTTGGAGGAGTGGTTTATGGAGGACGTGCTTGGGCCCTTCTTTATCAGGGAGTGGCGCTCAGCATGGTGGCCTCCTGTCCTCTTGATGCTTTCCTCCTTGCTAGCGCCTTTGCAGGCTGGCCTCCTTCTACTTCTCTGGTCACTCATTCTCATGCTCTTTACTCCCCTGTGAGTCAGGCTCTGGAGCTAGACCTCCCTGGGTCTCAATCTACACTTGGATCCTTGCCCAAGGTACTGGACCCTCTAATAATAATCTGTCTCATCCCCTATCTGTCACCTCATCTGCCAACAGGGGGTGATAATAGGGTTTCTTATTTCAGGAGGCAGTGGTGATGCTTAGATGAGTGACGTATGAAGAGGGTTTAGTACACACACAAGTCTTTACGTCTCAGCTGTATCATTTGTCTTCATTATTTCTACCTTGAGTGTTTGATTTTAAAGAATCAGCCCCTTTTGGTTTTCTTTTGTTCTTCTATCATTTGCATCCTCATAGCTTATAATTACCCCTCTATCCATTATCAAAGCCCCACCCTTATCCTCTGGTAGCTTCACTGTTGGCTTTTAGGGGGTGAGCACCTTTAGTCAGAATGAGAGGAGCCATTCTGAGCTACCTACTTAAGCAGCAGAGGGGCTGTCGTCAAATCTGCCCAACCCCCAGTTAGGCAGTTAGGTCCCCTCTATCTTTAAAAGCTTTAAAAAATATTTAGTTTTTTTATTGATTTTAGAGGAAGGGAGAGAGAGATAGAAACATCAATAATGAGAGAGAACCATTGATTGGCTGCCTCCTGCACGCCCCCTACTTGGGATCAGGCCTGTAACCCGGGCATGTGCCCTTGGTCAAAATCAAACCTGGGACTCTTCAGTCCACAGGCAGACACTCTATCCACTGAGCCAAACCAGCTAGGGCTTTAATAGCTTTTTAAAAATAGCTTTCCTTAGGTAAAGGCCCCCTGATCCTCACATACAGTTCTTTTTATCTCAGACTATTTTGTGTTCTCTCTCATTATTGTTGTTGATATACAGGTTTCTTGTAGTGTTGGTATTTATCTGAGTTGATGCTGGATACAAGGAATGACCCAAGTGATATCTCTGGTGTCAAGCAGCTCACAATCTGAAACTTTTCAGAAAATTCATGAAAGAGGCCAAATGTCACAGAAAGTCTAAAGTCCACAGTAGGAGAGAAGATACCCAAGAACAAACAACTCCTAATAATAGTAATAATAATATCAGGAACTAATGGTTTTTCTAGCTTTTAGCCTGTGTTACATTGTTATGTCATTTTATCCTTCATCAACCCACGGTGGAGCTCCTGTTGTCCTCATTTAGAGATGAGGACACTGAAGCAAGCCCCTGGTCAGTTCTGAGGCCAGGATTCAGGATTAGATGCTGGCAGTCTGAATCCAGAGCCTGCCTACATTACAGGTTCGTTCTCCTGTGTGTCCTGATAACAGCTCAGCGGTTTGCCAGGAGATGAAGCTGTTTTGGTGAGTGGATGGAGGTGTGGAGAGGGATGAACTAGTAAAGGGGGGTGAGCAGCAGATTGTGATGCAGGAGCACCATGAGGTCAGTAAAATCCAAGATTCTATTAATCGCACAGATTCCATCTCATCTATGTTACCCCAGACTCACTGAGGCCATAGCTACTATTGGGCAGGTTTTGGGGTCAGGGTGTAAACCCCCAGCTTAAAACATAGTTCAGTTCTCCTTACGCTGAAATGCTCTTTTATAAAATTACAACACACCCACCCTGTGTGCTCTTAGATGTTGCAGCTTAGACTTGTGACCTTTCTCTCTTTAATGTTATTTGTAGGCATTTGCACCTGCTGTTTCCTCCAAGTCTTTGATTTGTTTTCTTGTCATTCCTGTAACCACCTTGCATGTCTTTCTCCACCTATTTCCTGGGCAGGTATAAGTAACCTACTGGAGTGCTCTCCTTGCCTTTTGATCCATTCCCACAGCAGACTCCTCAGTTGGGGTAGGACATTCCCCACCAATACTATAGTGTTTATAGGCCGTCTCTTGTGATTTCAAATTCTAGTTCCAGATATTTTTCTCTGGTTGGTTCTTATGGGCATCACTTGTCTTCCTGGATAAACAACAAATCTCCTAAGACAGGAGCAAGGGTTTTGTTTTACTAACAATATTCCAGTAATACTCCAGGCTCATTGCTAGATGGTCAGGTCTCTGGAATTTCAGAGGGTTCCCTTATAACATGTCCTGAAGAAACATTAGGTGACTTGATGCAATTAAAATATAAGTCTTAAAATATTGATACAGTCTTCCTTCTACTCTTCCCTCTTTCTTTCACAAATTGGTATAAACATGTTTTGCTGCTGCAGTAGCATTTGATACTGGCCATTTCCTCTCTTGGGTCTGAGCAAGATGGAACATGGAGGGTAGAGGATTTACCTTGAAGACAGGGTGCAGTCCTGGGAGGCACCTCATGGTGGCGACAGCAATGACTTCAGCCACCAAATGAGTGTTCAGCAAATGATATTGGAGCTGGTGCAGTTGGAAATCTGAACTTCGGACCCAGGACTTTGCCAGGAGCCAGGCAAGTGGAGGATCCGAAGGCAGGAACAGTGATGGGGTCGGGGAGCTGGGGTTGGGAGGCTGGATCTGGGAAAAAGAAATTGAACATTTATTGAACGCCTACTTTATGAAGGATATTATGGTCACCATTCCTGGGGAAACAGAGAGGACTAAGTAAGGTTATTCTTTTCCCGGAAGTTATAATCTAGTAGGAGGAACGAGGACCCTTCCACCCTGCCTCTCACTGGCTGTGCGGCCATATGAGTGCCATGATGGTCAGGTTGAATGCAGGAGAGTCAGAAGCAGAAGTCCAGTAAGGAGATTCTAACAGTGGTTTGGGAGAACTGTGGTGAGGTTCTGAGTTAGGGTGGGAGGATTGAAAAGGAGAAGCTGGATGTGTTAGATAATTGACGGTATTTGCTGAATGTTGAGAACTTTGGGAGAAAAGATATTTGGGAAACAATGTGTATTTAGAGTCAAGGCTACGGAGAGAGTAAATAGTGATTCTCAAAGTGTGTTCCCAAACTAGCAGCATCAGCATCACTTTGGAACGTGTTAGCAAGGCAAATTCTCAGTCCCCACCCGAGATCTACTGAATCAGAAAATCTGGTGGTGGACCCAGAACCTGTGTTTTAACTGGCCCTTCAGGTGGTTCTAACGCACTCTAAAGTTTGAGAACCACTGAGTACAGGGTGAGAACTCCAAGAGGCCATTATGACTCTTGAACAGGTACTTCCAGTTGGGTGAGTCAGGGAAAACCAGGCTGCAAGCAAAGACTGACATGAGGACACGTCTCACTGAGTGAGGATTGAATTTGGGAACCAAAAGCCAGAGGGCTGGGTCCCTGGGAGCAGAGATTAGGATGAACAGAGAGCAGTGTTGGGAGGCGGTGCCTCACCTGGATGACCATGGGCAGCAGCTTCCCACTGGGTTCCATCTTCAGCATGACAAGGGGGGCAGCCAGGTACTGCTGCTCTTCTCGGATCACATTGGCTGGAATTCCATCCAGAAGGATGAAGTCAGCCTCAAACAGGGAACCCTTCTGGGGAACAGAGGAACATATTCATGGTTAGAGTTCAAGATCTACTCCCAGAGGAACAGGGCAAAGTGGGGGGGAGACATTTATAGACATTTATCTTTTATTAACTAATATCACCCCAATAAATTTAATTAAAAATAAAGATATTTATATAGCTTCTTGCCATTATCCTAATCAGTACCAGAGTTCTATTGGCAGAATCAGAGCTTCTTGTCCAATTCCTCTCATTTTATTTTTATTAATCCTCACCCAGAGATATTTTTCCATTAATTTTTAGAGAGAGTGGAAGGGAGTGGGAAGGACAGAGAGAGAAACATTGATGCGAGAGAGACACGTTGATTGGTTGCCTCTTGCACACAGCCTGACCAGGGCTAGGTTCCCTGCAACCAAGGTACGTGCCCTTGACCAAACTCAAACCTGGGACCCTCAGTCTGTGGGCAGATGCTCTATCCACTGAGCCAAAGCAGCCGGGGTTCCAATTCCTCTCATTTTAAATAAATGAAGAAACAACCTAGTGTGGGCTGATGGCTTGTGCAGGCTTGTGGTAGCAGGTCTGGGTTTAGTACCTGGCCTCTCAGTCCAGTTTGCATTGTAGGCATTGCGAACTCTCCCATTGTCAAGAAATTGTGCCCCTCCCCCAACATCCCCTAGTGCTCTGCTCCCTGTGTTGGGCGCCCATCAGCTCAGCAAATGCTCTTTCACTCACTGTCCAAATCTCACTTCCTCTGCCAAGTAATGCACAGAGGTTCCCTGACTGCCATTGCCACGGAATCCAGACACATGCACATGGACATGCTCACATCCTGCTTTGTTCGTCTGCCTTACATCCAGCTCATCTTTCCTGTATCCAGCTTCCACCTCCAGGAAACCTCCTCAATTCTCCCCACATGATAGTGCAGTCTTCATCTTTCTTGCTGCCCAAGAACACTGGTGTTGGGAGCACTGACATCAGCCAGGGAATGTCATTGTCCCAGTTAACATCTCTGGCCCCACCTGTATGTGCCTTGGACATCTATGCTGGAAGTTCCTCATAGTTTCTCCTACATAATTTATCATCTCTGGGTTTTTTCCAGCACAGGACTCTGCACTCAGGGATAGTGGGTTACCATAGCCTCCTTCCTTTGGTCCCTCCCCTTTACCACTTCTCCCCACACAGACAAGAAGACAATAAAGGGCTGGAGGTTGTACCTGGAGTTCTATCTCCAACTGGGTCCGAAGCTCCTCCATCCCTGAGGGCAGCACCAGCCGGGAGGGCAGAGAGGTGGAGCGTCTCAACAGCATGGGGTTGGCGCCATTGAGGAACTGGTAGCCAAAAAGCTCATCATCCTGCCAGCGCTGGTGAACCTTCTCTGTGGGGTCAGAGTGGGGGTTAGGAGGAGGCTTTTAAAAAAATTGCTATATTTTATTGGTTAATAAAATTATATAGGTTTCAGGTGTATAATTCTATAATACTTCATCTGTATATTGTATGTTCATCACAACAAAGAGGAGGAGTATATTCACCACAACTCAATGTCCCTCCTCCAGCCAATCAAGGGGTTATAGACACCTGGGGGAATCACTGACCAGCCAGATTGCTCTTCTGGCCCCAGAAGATCTGATCAAAATCCTCCAGATGGTTCCAGGAGCTCAGGAGGGTGTACACACGCTTGAGGGCCATCTCCAGTGCCCTAGGACAGGCATTGAGGCATGAGCCCCTTTGCTGACTCCTCAGCCCCTCACTGTTTACCACCATTCTTGGGTCTCCCAGCCCTTAGTCTACTCTGAGCTCCAGGCTTTTCCTCACCCAGCCTTCAGTGTCCATTCAAAGTCCAGCCTCTTCTTCTCGTGGAATCTCACATTTGGAGGTAGATCGTCCTCACTGCCTGCAGCTATAGTCAGGGGTAACCCTTCCTTCCAGGTGGCCCAGCTAGGACATGGGGACAAGGTTCAGGTCAGTGATGTGGGCAGGGTCAGGGGGAGGGTGAAACTTGGGGTCTAATATGGGTGGGTGGTCACCAGTATACTTGCTGTCTTTCCTTCAGTTCCTTCTCTCGATGTTTCTGGAACACATCTGATGCATTGTCTCCTGCCAGGCGGGCTGGGGAGACATGAAGACAATTGGCCACACAGTTTTGCGTGTTCCTGTGCTCTGTCCTCACCGTCCTTTTCGTATCGTAGTCCCTGTGTTCAGTTGTGCTCTGTTGCTTTTATCTCCGTCTGTTCCTCAGTTCATTGATTCCCCAGACACATTTATCCCAGCTTTGCCCTCCTGGTCTCACTTATCTCAGCCCCCGTCTCTTGCCTTGAGACCAAAGTGTCATGTTTGCCATCATTTTCTTGTCCCTTAATCCATCTTTCCCTACTTGATCCGATTTCATCCATATCTATGGTTGGATAAATCACCTGAATTATGGTGATAAAATCTTAATCATCCCTATCTTTTGTTCTACTATATATTTGGTAAATATTCACTTCTTGAACCTCACCTGCCACACCTCTAATGCTCTGTGTGCTTCTATATTTACTGGCTTCTTCCTACTCTTATCACTACTTATACCTATATCAAAATCATATATTTCATATTTCCATCCTTATTTGTTCTTGCTCTCATTGTCTCTGTATTCCTCTCTCATTTCCCACAGCAACTAATTCAATATTTGCTGTCCTCATTCATCCCCACCCCAGTCAGTGTGCTCCCTGGCCTCACAGTTGTCTTCCCTGTTTTCACAGCCAAACCAGTTCTTCACATCATATCATTTATTGCTTCCCTTCCCTGCCTCCTCTCAGGGGTCCCATGTGTTAGCCTTACCTGTCCCTGCCCTAACTGGTTCCCAGTCACACGGAGATTTCTTTCCACTTTACTTTGGCTCTTCTGTTTCCCAGCATGGCTGCACCTCCCATTCCCTCTGCTCACATTCTTGGGAGGTGGGATCTACACATCACTCGCTTCCCTGTCCAGTCCCACTTCCAGCCTTTTAAATTCTATGTATAACTTTCCTCATCTCTCTCTGGCCCACCCTTAACCTCCTAAGCACGCACTTTTTCAAGCCTCAGTGCAATTCTGCCCTCTCCCCCACTAATCCCTTGGCCCTGCTCCCACTTCCCTGAGGCGGCCCCTCACCGGTGCCCTCGGGCAGGGTCAGCACGCCCTTGCCCTGCACCCAGCTGTAGCAGGGGAAGGCGGCCTCCTCTAAGTCTCCTGGGCCCTGCACGGTGATGAGGTCGCAGAACCAGGCGTTGTCCACCAGGGAGTGGTGTTTGCGTAACTTCACAAACTGCAGTGGCCCCAAGTCCTGGGGAACGTCCTGCTCAAACTCCTCCACCTGTGGGGACAGAACCCGGTGGGACTTGGTAGCGGGGACCCGGCAGAGGACGTTTAACCGAGGGTGCGGGGTCCTCTGTGGAGTCCGGGGACAAGGCCTCCAGGGGCAGCATTGCCTCCTCCCAACACCCGCGCGGTGGGTCTCAGATGCCCCGTCTCACTCGGAGAACAGGAAGGCGGGGCGAGGCCCTGAGTGTCTTGAATTGAACACTGAGCATCATCACCTACCCCGTCCACTAACTGAGCTCTCACCGCGCCTGCGCTCTCGGAGGACCTTCCCTTTGACCACTGAGCCCACGACACTGGCCTGAGGTCAACTGGGAAAGTAGTGGAGGCTGCGGGGACCACGGTCGGTGGGGGAGGGAGAAAGGGGTTGAGCCCAGCCCGACCCTCTCCCCGCTTAGGGGCAGGCGTCCCAACTCCCCAGAGTCCCAATGGGCGCGTTCGCGGTTACTCGCCCCCCCTCCCACCTCCTGCCGTGAGCCCGGCGGGGATTGGGGTCCCAGCTGCCCCCGCTGACCTGGCCCCGCACCGGCAGCAGCTGCAGCTCCAGCTCCGCCTCCCCGCGCTCCCCGACCAGCCACAGCTGCACGCGGTTGTGCGACCCAGAGAACAGCCAGGCCCCGGTGGCCACGCAGATGCGGTAGCGGCCCATGACGGAACTCTAGTAGCCAAGGCGACAGGGAGCCGGGTCCTCTCAAGACCGCGGGCGGGAGTGCAGAAGCTCTAGGGCCAGTTTGGGTCTTTAAAGATGAGTCTGGGTCCCGCCCTCCTCACTACTTTCAGGCGCTCCCAAGTCTCCGCCCCAGACGAGCCCCAACCTGCCAGCTGCCCAGCAGAATGGGGAAGGGCAGCGCCTACTGGTTCGAGCTGCTGTGGGAAGATAAAGGGGCCCTTGGCCCGGGTGAGGCCTAGAGGATGGATGCGGCAGAGCGCCTCTGAACCTCCGGGCGAGGCCTGGGGCCAAGAGCCTCCAGGTTGGAGGGAGCAAGGATGAGGACACTCCCCAGGCCTCCAGGCCTTTTGGAGAGCTGGTTGATAGAGGGGGTGAGTGGGCCTTCCCCTTCTGGAGGGGAAAGTTTCCCTTTTTCTGGACCGGGACCGTGGGAAGGCGGTGGTCAACATATGGAAGGCCAGCCTGGGAGGCTTGGCTGGGCTGCTAGACCCCTATCGTACGGAAAGTCTTCAGTTCCTGATTTCTACCGCATCTGAGCCCCGTCCTTCAATAAGTGACCAGAGGTTGCCAGGCTGCCTAGAACCTGGAAAAGTAACAGCTCAGAGACTTGCTCCCTGCCTCTCCCTGAACCTGGTTGCAAGCATCCTGGCATTAGGGTCGTAGTTACACCAGATATTGAAGGAGGCCTAACGGAGGCAGGCAGTGAGAGCCTCCTCTTGTCCAACCTTCATAATGGGTGCAGGAAGGGTTAGGGGTCTGGGTATTAGGGTGCAGTATGGAGTCACTTAGGGGCCCAGGATACATGGACAGTTCTCATGAACTTTGCCCTTTCCAGGTGAATGCAGCCTTTTTGTCTTCCTTATATTCCAGGTAAATATTTATAATGGCCTCATTTTACTGACCATGGTGCCTGCTTCTTCACATATAAAAAATTATATGGGAACAGGTTTTATTAGGCATGAAGTTCTACTTTCTTCTTCCTTCTTGTCTTAATCCCACTCAACCCCAGCTATTTCTTGGTCCTTCATGGCACTCAGGGCAGGAAACCAGGGGACAGGAGAGGGCCAGTGCTGGTTAGGGACTTTGTACACATTAGAAAGATGATTCAGGGCTCAGGCTTTGTCACCCACCCAGCAACCAGATGAAGCCCTTGGTAGGTCCCTAATGTAGATCTTCTTGGTCTAAGTCATTGTCAGCTTTTGGCTCACAGTGAATAGGACTGCTGGCTGGGTAAACCAGGGCAAGGTAAATCTGCCTTCTTGAGCCAAACCCTCAAAAATGACTTTGGATGTTGGTTATTGGTGAGGATAAAAGGGATTCTAGTCTTGCCTTCCAGACTTCAGACTTCATGGAAGTGTATGATCTGAACTGGATGCCCTTCCCCTTCTTATGTTCTAAGCCCACTCCTGCCTACATCCTCTGTGCTCAGGATTGGTGTCTGCCACATGCTGGCCCCCAGTTAGCGCCAGTTTTTGGGTCACTCTATCCTGTCCTAAGCAAATAGATTGGCTCACATTCCCATCCTATGCAGGAACTGAATCTGGCCTTTCTACACACACCCTTTAGGGATCACTTTTACCTAGAAAAGAGAGTTTGTTTCATCCCTACATCCAGAATCAGTCCATACATCAGCCTGCTTCTCTGCTGGTGATACTTATTCTGCAAAGAGAGGTAATGAGAACGTGGGAGTCAGTTACTGGCACAGAGACCAGGGCCCGGGAGTCTGGAGAAAAGGGGTTTAGCTTTGGCATGCACATGTGGCAGATGTGGGCTTCCCTGCTGCAAAAGGCCCAGGCAAAGTCAAGCCCTTGGACCGTCCTGTTGCACACATAAGGAAAAATGGTAACTGTAAGGAAAAATAAAACATCTACACTAATAAAAGAGAAAGACGCAAATTGGTGTCACTCCGCTATGCCCACCAGCCAATCAGATGAGTATGCAAATTAACCCAACAAAGATGGCGGTTAATTTGCATACACAGGAGTGGAGTGAAAACTGAAGACAACATAGAAGGAAGCCAAGTGGTGCAGAAGGGAGCAAAGTGCGGAGAAGCAAGCGGGATGGCGGAGGCAGGAGCGAAGCCTGCCTCGGCGGGTTTTGCTTTCTTCTCTGCTTTGCTCCAGCTGCGAAGCCCTATTCTTGCAGGAACCTTCCTGCAATGGGCCTCTAGTGGTAAATAAGAGACTTGGTTCTCCCTGTTAAACATAGATTTTCCACACTCTCTTTTCTTAGAGCATTTTACTTTAGCAAACTTGTAATTATAAGTTCTTTGTCTCTTTGAAATGTGTGTAGATCTTTCTAGAAGCTAAATAAGCTACTTGTCAGTTTTGTGCCACAGGAATGTCTTTCGGAAGGACCTGGGAGCCAGCTCTTTGAAATCTAGGAAGACAGCAGCCCTATCTCCCAGTTTCTGTGAGAGGGTGGGAGCCTAACTGAGATGGGCTCCTTGCTCTAAGTTGCAAAACTACATCTATATACACAAAAGGCTAATATGCTAAGTGTCTTTCCAGGTAGTGATGTCATGTAGCAATGCCCGGCTTCCTCTCCCTAGTGATGACTAGCCTCCTTGCAGTTTCTTCAGCCCAGGAACATGACTTGCTTTATAGCCAGGTGCAAATATTTTACACTTTAACCAAATGTCTGTGAAGCATTTTCCTGTGCCTCATCCTCGTTTGATCCTCACAGAAGTCCTGGAGTAGGTAGATAGGAGACTTGGTAGAATCCTATTTTTTTTTTCATTAGCCGGAAAACAGAGATTTAGTAAGTTTAGAAACTTGACCCGACTGAAAAGAAGTAAGAAATGGTGGACTTTGAAAATGACTTCAGGTTTTTCTCATTGCAGAACAAGTTAGCTTCTTGATCAAAGTTCCTCTCACTGTTGTTCCCCAGAGGGTATGGGTGAGGGGGATGGACCTTACATTTCATAGACAAAAAAAAAAATTGTTTAAAAAGAGATTTGTGCTGCACTGTATACATTTTCCGGAAGCTTGCTTTTCTCACTCAAGAGATAGATCTCTTGGAAACCTCTGCAGCTCAATAGTTATGCATCTGACTCATTCTTTTAAATGGCTGCATGGTGCTCCCCAGTGCACCCAGCCATTCCTCTGTTGATGAGCATTCAGTGGTTTCCACTTGTATGACCTGTGCTGAATGCTACAAAGGGCGTGTTTGTACCTACATCCTTGGGAACTTGACGGTTTCACTTCTCTGGGTTAGAGCCCAAGGAAAGGGTGCAAAGGATAAAAGGCTACCAGAATAGAAAAATATCCAGGAACAAAGTAAAACAAACAAATAAAAGAAAAACAACACAGTTTTCTTTACTTTTAAGACAGAGGAATACACAACAAAAGACATTGGCTGAGTTGTCATGGAGAGGAGTAAGTCAAGGATTTTTAAAAAGGGTGTTCCTAATGTTTACACTAATTAAAGTTGAAAGGTTATACCATGGACAGGCAGGCCGGGTTGACTACACAGGTTTGTACATTGTTGGTTGAAGCAACTCCTATTGTTCTTTTTTTTTTTTTTTAATCTATACCTGCAGATATTTTCCCATTGATTTTTTTTTTCACTGTTCAAGGTTTATTTGGCATTTTATTTTTATTTTTTGGTATTTATCTTTTTATTTTTATTATTATTTTTTGTTTTTAATTAAATCTTTATTGTTCAGATTATTACAGTTGTTCCTCTTTTACCCCCAATAGCTCCCCTCCACCCGGTTCCCCTCCCACTCTCCTCCCTCACCCCCCCCAACTGTCCTTATTCATAGGTGCACGATTTTTGTCCAGTCTCTTCCCACATCCCCCAGACCCCTTCCCCCCCCCTAAGAATAGTCAGTCCACTCCCTTTCTATGCCCCTGATTCTATTATAATCACCAGTTTATTCTGATCATCAGATTATT